GAGCCTGAACAACACAACCCAACAGATTAGCCTGAACAACAACACAACCCAACCCAACAGATTAGCCTGAACAACAACCCAACCCCACAGATGAGCCTGAACAACAAAACAACCCAACAGATGAGCCTGAACAACAACACAACCCAACAGATGAGCCTGAACAACAACACAACCCAACAGATGAGCCTGAACAACAACACAACCCAACAGATGAGCCTGAACAACAACACAACCCAACAGATGAGCCTGAACAACAACACAACCCAACAGATGAGCCTGAAACAACACAACCCAACCCAACAGATTAGCCTGAACAACAACACAACCCAACAGATGAGCCTGAACAACAAAACAACCCAACAGATGAGCCTGAACAACAAAACAACCCAACAGATGATCCTGAACAACAAAACAACCCAACATATTTAGCCTGAACAACAACACAACCCAACATATTAGCCTGAACAACAACCCAACCCAACAGATGATCCTGAACAACAACACAACCTTGTGATGAGCTTTGATTCTTCATGTGGCTTTCTCTTTTACCACCTGCATTATTATGGTGGTCGTCAGTATGTTAAAGGTACAAAACAGATTTTAATAGCAGTGTGCATTGTTTAATTTACTGGTTTACATTCAAATTTTCTTGTTTGTAAATTACAGTTTTATACTGTAAAATTTACAGTTTTTGGCCGTAAATGTGTTTACAGTTTTTCTGTATTTTTTACTAAATTATTCTGGCAACCACAGCTGCCAAAATTATTTTGTAAAAACTACAGAATTTTTTTTACAGTGTACACAACCCAACAGATGAGTCTGAACAACAACACAACCCAACAGATGAGCCTGAACAACTACACAACTCAACAGATAATCCTGAACAACAAAACAACCCAACAGATGATCCTGAACAGCAAAACAACCCAACAGATGATCCTGAACAACAAAACAACCCAACAGGTAACTGACAACGTTAATGCAAATTAAAACTAGGGGTGTGAATCAGCACTGGTTTCACAATTCGATTACGCTTATCATGTCAACGATTCGATTCAATTCGATGCATCACAATCATATCAAATTTACTTTGTGCATTTTTATTAAATTATATAAGTAGGCTACTTTTAAAAATAATTACAAATTAATAATAAATCAAAACAATTGTTAAGAATTTAACCAAGTAAATATAGCTTCAAAACATACAAGCAAATATAAAGTAGGGTATAATGGGGCTAAAGGCACACTTAAATATATGGTTTCATTCTAAACATGGTGATTATCTCTAAGATGGACACCCAACATAATATATGATATTTACCATCTGAATCTAACCATGTCATGTCAGCAAATGGGAAAGTCAGCCATCTATTAATTATCATGTTAATTATTGTGCCTTTTGCCCCAGCAGCAGGGGTGCTTTTTACCATTTTATATCATACTTTTACATATTCTTTCATTATTTAAAAACTGTTGCTTTAATTATCTTAAACAAAACTTAAAGTCATAAAGAAGACCTTTGTCTCAAAATATATTCAATAATTTTAGTGATTCTCATTTGCTGCTTAAATCTACGACATTTAAAAAAAACATCAAATATTAGATAGTAAGCACAGAATTAACTTTGTGCTGCTGCCCGTGATCGCGTCAAGGATCAGCCAAATTTGCAGGTATATCTTGAAAAGCGGATGTTTTGGAAAGTGCTACACTAAGTTTTTTCTGCCATCTAGTAGTTTAGAGGAAAATAATATCAAAGGCGCCTTTAGCCCCATTGTAACCTAATGAAGGGGCAAAAGACAGTTACAAGTGATAAACAAAAAGTACTTTCAGTATCTGAGAGTGCTTTAAGTATCCGAAAGTTTACAGACAATCATAGTTATGGGTTTTTTCTTTATTGCTGTTTGATTATTACTGCTGAGTTCATAGACAGTGGCAGCTTTAATAGGCCGCATTCACGCTAATGCACAGATCTGTTTCGACATATCAGATGTTTTGTCCTGTTCTGAAAACATAACTGACTGTTTACACATCAATTTCGTATTATAAAAGTATTCAGAGATGCAAGTGCATTTATCTGCAATCGTGAGCTTTAGGACAAACACAAAGCGCACGTGGAAGTCTGTCAGTACGTGAGTTTCATGCATCTAATACGTACTGCATTCCAAACGGCAGAAATGAAAGTATATCTAAAGTAAAGCACTGAAATAATGGCTGGTGAAAGCACACACTGTCAAGCAATGCGCACACGTCTTAAAGCGCATATCCTGTGCAATGAAGCCCGACGCGATTGTCTCTATGCGGGAAAAAGCCAAGCTCAGAATCAAAAACTTATAGGCCAATGGCAATATTTGAAAAATATCGACATATATATTAGCCTAGGCGATATATCGGTCGACCACTAATCTGTGCTAATAATAAAGATGTTTCTAATCAATATTCTTTGTTTGCAGAGAAACACACAAAAGGGAGGAAATGTTTCAGGAGCGTGCGGAAGACTGTAAAACGCCACGTCCAAACCCTCAAAACCAAAGTGTGTCCTCGTGTGCCTGAAGGGGAGCCATCGCAGGAGCATCCACAAACATCCAGAGCAGAACCGACAGCAGACACAGATCCGCTCGAGTACCCAACACAACAGATCGTGAGTCTCCAGTTATTACTGCTCTGATTCATTCAGTCTGTTTCTGGTTTTATTACAAAGCGCTGCTGCTGGATTTCAGTCTCATGCTGTACATTAACATGTTGTTGTGTTTTTCAGAATGCCTGATCCTTTCTAATAGACTGAGACGGGAATTTGCATCTCCACACTTTGACTTTCCTTATGAAGCGAGACCTCAACATGGAGCAGAGTACTTCCGCTCTCTCTATGAAGTGGGAGAAGAAGTGAGATCGGGAGACTATGTAGTCGGTGTCTATGAAGGAATTAGTAGATCGGATGGCCAGAGGGTGTGTTGCTCTTTCTGCATAATCAAACTTTTTGCCTCTTGTTTCTTTCTGTGAACTTTGAGTCCTGACATAAACATCAGTGTTTACAGTAGGGATGTTCATTTTAACCGTTTAACCGACGGTAAGAATTTTGACAGATTAATACACTCAGTTAAACTGTTTAAAAAGTAATTTAATCATTTGTTTATTCAGTCATTTATCAAAATATTTAAAACGGTTTGCTGCATGGTTATAATTTTTTCAGTAATTTATCAAAATATTTAAAACGGTTTGCTGCATGGTTAAAATACGCTACGCGTATTAAAACATTTGTTTTTTAGGGGGAAAAATCATGTCGCATTTTATTATTTCAGAAATAGACCTAGGGCCCGTTCTTCGTACATCGCTAACTCACTTAGCTGGATTTGATTGTTGACGATTTGTTGACGATTTGGCATGATCTTGGATCATTTGGTTCTTCGATGCGCATCCTGGAGTTGCTGCCATAGCAACAGGTCCGTAAACTTAAACCTGCTCGGGAGCAGTTACTCTACTAATCTGGGGACAATAATTTAAAATAATAATCATTTAAAAATTAATTTAAAGATAATATAATAATGTTGTGTAGCCTTTAATACTATAGACGCAGCCAGTTTTACTCACTGAAAGATTTATTCATCATAAAATAATCACTTCATAATTGTATTAGTCTTACACACATGCTATACAGATAATGTAGAGTCGTGCATTAATTTGAGTTGTGACAGATATTATGGGAGTGGCTTGGTGGAGTGCAGGAGATGCAGATAACTTGATCTTGACCCTTAAGAAACTTGAAATAAAAATGTAAAGCCTGTACAAATATTAGAACTCGTGAATATAAATAATTGGGAATCATGAAAAAAAAATTAAAGTAAAATAAAAACAGTGCACATTTCATTTATCTATTATAACATTTATGTAGTTTTGTTTTCCTTATAAAAGTCCAGAAATTTGTCAAGTGTTTCGTCAGGTGTCTTTTTTAATGAAATGATGTCATAACGTTGCTGTCGGGTGTACTCACTTCTGTGAGATACTGTATATATAGCCTAGCTTTATTATGTTTTTCTCCACTCGCAGAAGTGCTGCAGGTGCGTGATGTAATATGATGACCAGTGAATCCTTATGTTCTGTTGTTTGCTGCTTTTTGCGCATGTAAAATTAATCCCTAGGAAACAAACGTTAGTATTTTTAAGGGTCACAGATGTAATGACCTCAAAGAGTTATTTAATTGGTTTCATTTCTTTGTTTATTGTAGATAATTTGCACTAGTAATATGTAAGAAAAAAATATGTATACTGTTGGGGGCGCTGTGTGAAGAAAGACATGTGAGTAAAAAGGAGATAGAATATGGGCAGTTAACGCATGTTGTTCATGTTAAAGCGTGCAGCCCAAATCTGTTGCAGAAAACAAAAAGAAAAAAACAACCGGGCGAATAAATCTACAGAAAAGCAAAGGTTGTCGTCGTTATTGTCCAAGGGGGAACACATACACTTATCCTTTCTAATTTAATTTACTTCTACTTTAAAATAATCTTGTCGGTTAACGGTTAACAATCGTTTAACGAGCGTCGGTTCTCGGTTAGGAAAAATAACCGAAATGAACACCCTAGTTTACAGTATCGATCAACACATTTAAAAAAGACTGTAGATGATCATGTACACAAACACAGAGAGATCAGTTTACTTATGTTTGCAAAAATGTTCTTAATTTTTTAGGTGCTCATCAAATTTGTGAAGAGGCACTGGCCTGGGAAAACATCAGAGTTGGTGAGTTGACGACTTTATTTTTCATGAAATTCTCTATTAAGAGTTGTTTTATTAAGTTCTGTATGTAGACAGTATGAGGTATAACTGAATTAGACAATCAAAGTCTAGAATAATCGGTTATAAAGTACATGTAAAGTTCATCGCCATCATCTTTAATTTCCGTCACTCTTTAGTTTATGAGGTTTGAAATTGGTTAGGAGTCAGCTAACCTTTGGGCAGTCTCTTTTCTTTAGGACGAGTTTCTCAAACCTATGTGAAGAGACAACTACGATGTTGATGCTGCAAAGGCCTCCGTTCTGCGACCATGCCATACAATTATATGACTGGTTTATCATGGACAAACAGAATGTCTTGATAATGGAAAATCCGCATCCCTGTGTGACCTTGTGTAAGTTCATAAAAAAAAACAGAGGTCACCTGAGTGAAGAAGAGGCAAGACTCATCATGTGGCAGCTCGCCGTTGCTCTGTGTCACTGCTGGGATCGTGGTATTTTTCTTGAAACAGATCTGAGTAATATTCTCATCAACACGGACACCCTGCAGTTAAAGATAATTGACTTTAGATACGCAGAGCACATCATAAAAAAACGTAAATTGGCTTTCTGAACACAGATCACTGACTCATGTTACAGTTCACTGATGATGCTTTACTAAACTCTGGAAATGTGTTGTTTACAGGAAGTGAAGAAGCTTATTTAGAGGCAAGGCTCAGAGTGCCTGCTAAATTGCAAGCAGCTGAAAACTTATACTTCGTGCTGGATGCGCTCATCAAAACAATAAGACATCTGTGTTGGAAAAAAGCACACCTGTCCAGAGGTGAGACCAGTGACAAGAACACAATGGAAATAACATTGCTTGAAAAACATATAAAGCTCAGACACAAGTGACAGTAAATGATTAGTGCTGAAATGAGCAAAGTATAAAACATTGACAAATTACACTGAATGTTTAGCAGTGATTAAATGTTCATGGGCATCCAGAGAATGTGACGGTAACAGCAACAGAAGCATTGAATTTCATGATCACATTACCTTACGTGAACTACAGACCTCAGAATGTGTTTATGAGTGTCAGGACTAATATGACTAATCAGATCTCTTCTGAAAACTTTCACAGAATGCACAGATCTTCTTCGGAAACTTGGGCATGGAGGGCCATCAGCGATTGACACCTTAGAGAACATCTTAGATCATGTCTGGTTTAGATACCTCTCCACAGTGAATGAAGGAGAAGGAAACTGAAAAAAAGTAAGCATAAGAAAAGAGATGTTCTTTTGATCGATTCTGGCCTTTTAAATCAGAAAGAGCTCTTTTCAATTCAAAACAGAAGCTTATTTTCATGCTCTCATTGTTTGACTGATAGACATTCCCCTGTTGGGCAGCAGCTCTCAGCCACGCTTCACTCCTTTAACCCGGGATCATCTCTCTTCCAGCCCTGCAGCTGAGCCTCGGGTGAGATGTTAGTACCCCAGCACTTCTCCGCTCTGTTCATCCAGAGGCAGAAGCTGCTCTGTTCAGGCTCTTCAGCAGCTGTGGGCTTAGAACGGTTCTTTTATTCCAGTGATCCACAAATTCATGTGAAGAGATTCACAAACACAGCTCTGCCAGGCATTCATTTGCCAATCGCTTCTTGTGCATTTGTGCATGCATCTGTGTATTTTGAAACATTTCTAGCATCAAGATGTACACACAAATCCACAGACAGGTGGACTCTACTGCCGGCCAATCATAGCACGTTCTCACTACAACCAATCAGGTGTTGCTTTACAGTCAGGCGGTCTCTTCCTGAAATAACTCTGTGGCTCTAACACTCTATATTAAGCATTATAAGTAGGGTGTAACGCCACTAATTACAAATATTTCAAACATTAATTAAATGTAATACAGAATGATTCCCACTTTGTAGAGACGATATACTTGGTATAGTAAGATGATACAGGTTTTCGTTTGCATTATCCACTCAAAAACCTCAGTAGAGCTGCAGCGATGAGGCTTGTACTGTAACGTCACTGATAGTCGCTTGGGCTTGTATTTGGTATTATACATGATGTTTTGTCCTAGATGGGGTCCTTCAGAAGAAGAACGGGTGATCTGTTCAGTCCAGTGTAGACAGTATCACTGATTATAATGCGTTGCGCCGCTCGTGTCAGGTGTAGAGAGACTGTTATCGCTCAGGATCTGTGAATGATCATAATTTGTATACAGTCTTGAGTTTATCCTGATACACTGGTCTCAATGGAAATATAAAGAAGTAGGGGTGTGCGATATGGACAAAAAATGATATCTCAATATTTTCTGGGATTTTATCGATAACGATAATTAGACTATATTTTGCTGAGTGTTATTGTGCTGATATCTTAAGGACTACCGTCGACAGCTGACTCCTAAAGTTTTGATCTTCTTCATATTCTGTGTGGTGAGCAGTTCACAGCAGTGATATGTTATTGTGCTGATATCTTAAGGACTACCGTGGACAGCTGACTCCTCAATTTTTTTTATATTCTTCATATTCTGTGGTCAGTTCACAGCAGTGATAGAAATTAATCTTTTCCAATAAGTTTAAATTGATTTTTACCTTTATGGGCATTTGTACTTTTATAAAGCCATTTTTTTCCTAAAAGTGTGCATCATCTTTTTAATCAGTCAGTTAGAATAATAAGACATTTTGGCAGTTACCAACCAAATTAAATCAGTATTAACAAAGTTCATCTTTGCAATGCAGACGAAACACAGAAGCTGCATCTGAAGTGGCATATAGATGTATTTACACACTGCTTAATGCAGGACCCAAATGTTTTAACCTGTAGTTACAAATGCATAAATTATGTTTTGATATATTAAACATAAAATGTTGACTACTGATATTTAAGATTAATTGAAAAATTAAAAGATACTTTAAATGTGAAATTGAAACTGCCATTAGGTGGCAGCAAGTCACAGTCAAGTGAGTCATTGCGATTGAAACGATTCTTTCAAGCGAGTGATTCATTCAGGAACGAAAAAGTGTCATGTTGCTCAGAGACGCAAAACTTTGTTTGAAAATATTTTTGTTTTGTCTAAAATCGCACATCGTTAAAACAACAATTACAATATTATCACAGACGATATATATATCGCACACCCCTATAAAGAAGCCACATAAAATAAGTTTTAACCACACAAACAGCACTTAAGCTCAATTTGAAGGAAGAGCTCGTAGAATGTTGTGAATGAATCTGAATCGAAATGTTCTCATCCTGACTGTCGTGCAAAATGTGACGGGCTGTAGCGAGAACATGCTACGATTGGTCAAGGCAATGTTTCTGTTATCTGATTGGCTTGAGCTGACAGAGGGTGGAGTCCACCTCAAGGTTATTATAATTCTGCATTTTTAAATTTGGTAATATTATTTTAACATTTGCTATAAATGTATAAAATAGAGTTCAACAGAATTAACAGAACACTCCCAGAGTGCAGACCAAAGCTAGACATTTTAATGTAAGCTCCATGAGACAAATGTAGCGACACAAACTTATAGCATGTTTAGATAGATTAGATGGGGAATAGTAAAAGTAAAAGATTAAATGTGTTTAATCAAAATGAACACAGACGACTCCTGAGACGAGCTTATTTGCAGGAGTTCACATAAATGTATCCATGTGTATTTATATAGGGTTACATCCATTTATTAGTAATATAAATTTATATTAATATACATTAATATGAATGGTCATATTTGAAAGTTTTAGACTGAATTGTGAATGTAATTTGGTAATAATACAGCAATATTGTACTGTAATTGAATATTAGCTGTGTCTTTTATCTTAATCATAATATTGTAACTGTCGTCTCTCGCTCATATAACACACTCCTGGGACTCAAACCCTCGTCCCACAGCATTTATTTTAGTCAAACTTGCAGTACTGTAATTTATGTAATTTTATTATTATTATTTAGATGTAATTTCATTTCAGTTAGTTGCTCAGTAATTGTTATTTTTGTTTTCATTTATTTTTATAACATTTTTTTTGTCTGTTTATGAAAATGTTTTTTGATCAGTTTTCGTCTTCGTGTCAGTTTTAGTTTTCCTTTGATCCACCTGTCTGTGGATTTGTGTGCACGTCTTGACGCTAGAAATGTTTCACAATCCACAGATGTGTGCCGTGATTCACAAATGCACAGAAAGCCATCCATAATTGGATGCCAGGCAGAGTTGTGTTTGTGACATTTTTTATTTCTCTTTATTTGTGGATCTTAATGTATTTATCTGGAGCAGAGGAGCAATTATAAGCCCATATTCATGTCCTGATGAAATTTGATGAGCGGTGACCTGGAGAAGGAGAACGGTCCAGACGGCACTGGAGCACATCTCTATATCAGGACGCAGACTTGAGCTCCACATGTTCTTATCAGAGAGCCAAGACGTCTGCTGGACTGCTCAGCCAGAAGATCAATGTAATCTAAAGAACCATCAGACACGATGCAGAGAAGCTCATTATAAACATCCTGTCAACTTTACAAGACAAAAAGGACAGTATGCAAATCTTGTTTCAGAGGCAGTAGGTTAAATAATTATGATAAATGCAGATAACGACAGAGAAGTCTTTCTGGAACTAATGTCCCGATGTGATTTGTCAGCAACTGAGAAAAGCCTGAGAGAAACTCAAACACAAAAATGAAATTCACACACAGATGTGTTTTTAAAGTTCTCAGTTGAAAAAAATAAACTTTTCCAGATTTCAAGCATCAACAAAATGGCCTGTTTGTGAAAGGTGCTTCTCTCATAGCTGTGCTCATGTTCTGCTTCTCTGTTGTCACTACAAATCATCTAATAGAGCATGTGAACATTTTTAATAAAAGATTCATTTTTCATTTATTTGCTTTTTTATTTAAATTATATATGTTTGTCAGGGAACTCCATTAATTGCCTGAATGTACAATCATGATAAAGGTAAACTAACTTTGTGGCCCTTCAAACTTAAACTTTTTTTTGTTTTTGGCTTAAAGTATCATTTTAGTTGTGACAACTCTTGATCCAAGGGAATCAGAATGTATCAGCTACTGTAACAACATTTGTATTGTGTAAATATTAGAGCAAAACAGGCTTTTGAGTCAATCTAGAAGGGATCGATCACTACAATCATTCCAGCAGATCTCATAAAGTCCACAATCACAGCACTGCAATAAATCACTCACATCCATTCATTCATAGAGAGGAAAGAGAATTAAAAGCTTAGATCACCCAAAAATAAAGATGACTGTCAGTTACTCATCCTCATCTCATTCCAAACCCATAAGACTTTCATCTTTAAAACACAAATGAAGAGATTTTAATGATTTCTGTAATTACTGCTTTGTCACTTCAGAAAGTTCATAAAGAGATGGTCAAAAGTCTTATGGATTTGGAGCGACATGACGGTGAGTAAATGAACTAACCCTTTAAGTGCTTTAATAAACAATAAGGTCCAGTGTGCATTTTAACTCTAACAGTAACGTTTTCATGTTTTATAATTCCCTTAACCCTTGTAAGCTCTTTGTTTGGAGGAATGTACTCTCAGAGACCCCAGTGTGACGTCTGCTTAAAATCATTGATGATCATTGGGGTTTTATGTCTTTAGAGACCCCTCTTAGCCTTTTGACATTTACATATAAATTACAGTCCTGGCCCCAGATTTTACATTTATATGGGTGCTAAATGGCCAATGGTTCCCCCCACTATCAAGGAGATGCTAAACGGTTTCACCACTCTCGTCTCCCCATTGAACTTCAAACACATTCCAAAGAGACGTAAATGACCCCGGTGCCAGGCACCAACGGCCTGGCTGACCAGCAAATCACACCATGCTCACATAACACACACACACACACACACATAAAGACATTTGTTTGTATGTTTCCCTATTATATTAGCCTAGTTACCACTCATTATTTGTATTAGTTAGACTCTCAATGCTTATGTTCAGGTATATGAGTGTATCTCTGCTTTAAGATCTTCTAGATGTTTCGTTCTTGGTATCAAAATAATCTCAAAAGGTGGGTGTGGATAGGAACTTTCAAAAGTCATTAGCTCAGACTAATCTTGGGTCAAAACCTTTCTTCTTGAGACAGACACTATCCAAGTTTTATCTTCAAATAACTAACTTTGTTGATCCACTGTGGACTTTCCTATCTTCAGAAGAACCAGGAAAACATCCAGCTCACTCCTAAAGAACTCA